TAGAAGATGTTTTAAACGACTACACTGGGATGACTTGGGAATTAATATAAACGGGCAAAATCTGAATCATTTACGATATGCTGATGATATTGTATTAATAACAGAAAAAAGTGAAGAATTACAAAGAATGATGGAAGAACTAGATAGAGAATCGACAAAAATTGGACTCAAGATGAATTATAGTAAAACAAAAACCATGACTAATCAACCAGAAGAACTTATAATTACAGTGGCACAAACAAAAATAGAACAAGTAAAAGAGTATATATATCTAGGCCAAATCACTAAATTAAATAAAGAAAATCAGACCGAAGAAATAAAGAGAAGAATAAGATTGGCCTGGGCATCATTCGGAAAACTGTTTTATATTCTAAAGAATTCAAAATACCCCCAATACTTAAAAACGAGAGTCTTCAATCAATGTATACTCCCTGTCCTCACATATGGCTCTCAGACATGGACGTTTACAAAGGAAAATATGGAAAAAATAGCAAAGACAGAAAGATCCATGGAAAGACAAATGCTGAACATTAAACTATCAGACAAAAAAAAGAAACGAATGGATCCGTAATAAAACAAAAGTGAAAGATGTCTCAACCCAAGTAGCAAAGCTTAAATGGAAGTTCGCCGGACACACCCTAAGGCAGAAAGATGAAAGATGGACTAAAACAATTATACATTGGAGACCATGGAATCACAAACGTAAAAGGGGAAGGCCACAAATGCGATGGTCAGATGACCTGAAGAAACACGCCAGGTCAAAATGGATGCAAATTGCCCAAGATAGAGAGGCATGGAAGAGAGAGGAGGAGGCCTATATCCAAGGATGGATGTTAAGGGCTGTATAGATAGATAGATCACCGACTGTAATATACATGATATTGTCGAATTATTTAATATCATATACAGAACAGGTATACTACCTAAAGAATGGCTTCTATCAAGATACGTGCTTCTATCCACATTCGTGACTATACCAAAAAAGAAAAACGCCAGACAATGTTGCTATCACCGTACATCAGTCTAATGTGCCACGGACTAAAAGTATTCCTAAAGATTATTTATCGTAGAATATGTAAAAAATTAGAACAATACATGACATTGGACAAACTCAATTTGGATTTAGAAATGCTCAAGGAACCAGAGAAGCATTAAATGCAATAAATGTGCTAATAAAGAGATGTTTAGATGTAAATCAGAACATCTATGTCTGCTTCCTAGATTATAATTCGTGAGAGATACAATGAAACATAATTCGTTAATAAAACTACTAAGAACAGAGAACGACACACACGATATAAGAATAATACATAATCTGTATTATGAACAAGAAGCTGTCATAAAAATAAATAATTTAAAAACTAATAAAATAAAAATCAAAGGAGCTGTTAGACAGGGCTGTGTCTTGTCGCAATCACTGTTTAATGTATACCCAGAGGAAATATTAAAAAAAGCATTAGAAAATAAGGTAGCAGGCATAAAAATAAATGGCCTACCCATACGTGAAATTAGATATGCTGATGATACAAAACTAATAGCAGAAAATATTACAGATCTGCAACGAATTTTATATAAGGTTTTATTACTATTATTATAGGGTATATAACTATTTAGGGGCAAACATTAATGAAACAAACGATTATACCAAAGAAATTACAGTTAGAATAAAAAAGGCTAAAAGTGCATTCAAGAATAAGTAACAAATATTATGGTGTAGAGGCCTCATTTTAGAAAATTAGTACTCAGGTGTTGTGTATTTTCTGTTTTTTTTTTTGTATAGTGTAGAGACATGGATTTTAAATAAACAATGTCTTAATAAATTGAAAGCATTTTAAATGTGGACATATCGAAGAATGCAGAAAATCTCCTGGACAGACGAAATAACCAATGAAGAAGTACTAAGAAGAATAGAGAATAGCAGGGAGATACTGGATTCCATAAAAATAAAAAAACTACAATATCTGAGTTCTATAACACAGATATGAATTCCTAAAACTCATAATGCAGGAAAATATTCAAGGAAAGCGCAGCGTAGGTAGTGGAAGAATGTCCTGGCTAAGAAACCTCAGAGAATGATTTGGATGCAGCGGGCTGTAGTGTCAAAAGTTAGAATAACAGTGATGATTGCCAACCTTAGTCGCGAGGATGGCAGGTAAAGAAGATAAGTTTAATTAGCTCGATCTGAACTGTATCTGGGCCAGGGCCTCTGCCAGATTTTGAATTGTTTATAGCAGAGTTTCCCAAACTTATCTAAACCGCGACACCTTTTTGCTAAAAAATTTGTTCGCGACCCCTCAATTTCCCCCCACTCATTTATTTAATATTATTTGACAGAAATAGCGTGCCTAATTTACAATTATCTGATGGTTTCTCAAATTTAATTTTACTTTACTGTTTAAGTTTAAATCAAAAACAATTATTTTATTACGATCTGTCCCACTCTACTTAATAGTAGGTACTTCTGCCAGAATAGCATTTACAATAAAAATAAATAATAAGAAGTCAACTGCACATTGTACACCGCGACATATTAGCTTGTGTCAATATCGCAAAATTCTTCCATGATAATCGCGAAAGCGCTCGCTACTAGATGGCACTCTGGAACGTTCTCGTAGCCTCGTTTTGGCTTTATATAAGCGGCGATGCGCAACGAAACCTCAGTTCGAATCCAAACAGCCTATGGTGGCGAACGCGGTGTTGAGTAATGAGTAAATATTTTACGACTTATGTATTCCCGTTTACGTATTTACGTCTACGATAAATTATAAATTATGAATAAGTTTTTAAAAAGAAGTGCACTACTATCTACGTCTGAAAGTGGCAGTAGCAGCAATAAAAAGAAAAACAGATTCTATATTGATGAATATCTTAAATATGGTTTTACCGTTATTTACAATAAACCACAATATGTTATTTGTAGACAAGTCTTGTCAAAAGAAAGCATGAAGCCATCAAAGTTACTTCGACATTTAAATAGCAAACATCCAGATAAAAAGGACACGTCCTTCACAAACAGCAAGACAGTTTTCCCTTGGCAACCACTACTAATGAAAAAGCATTATTAGCAAGTTATAAAGTTGCTTATCGTGTTGCCAAAACTAGTAATCCGCACACAATTGCTGAAAATCTGATTTTTCCAGCAGCTGTTGAAATGGTACATATAATGTGTGTGGAAAGAGAGGCTGCAAAATTAAATACGATACCTCTGTCAAATAATACTATCCAAAGAAGAATTAGTGATATGACAGAAGATATTCAAGCGCAAGTTGTAGAAAATCTTAATAAATGCACGACTTCTCTCTTCAAATGGATGAATCCACAGATATATCTAACTGTGCCCAATTCATTACGTTTGTAAGATACAATACAAATAATGGCATTCAAGTAGATATTTTATTTTGTTCACCATTGGAGACCAATACCACTGGAAAATGTTTACTCGACACTTTTGTGAAACGTACAAGTAAATATGATATTGACTGGAGTAAATGTATTGTTATATGCACAGATGGCGCTAAAGCTATGACAGGACATAAATCTGGTTTTGTCGTCAAATTACAAGAAATAATGCCTAATGCCAAATGGAGACATTGTTTTTTACATCCAGAAGTACTTGCGTCCAAGCTTTACCTTCTGAAATGGACCAGAAATTATGAAAAATGTATCCAATTATAGTGCTACAAATTTTGAACAAGTTTTTGCTGACATGCATGTTATATTTGCTCAATTTAAAACAACAGCTCTGTGATTATTTCCCCCTAAGAAATTCAAAACAGTTACGACAGTTGCAGATGGATACTAAATCCGTTTTAGCCGATTCCTTTCAGCATGTTAAAATACCAATAAACATGAAAGAAAATAGCAAGTGATGAAATGTTGAAGCTCCAATTCTTTTCCCAGAACTCGGTTCAATTTTAGACCGAAAAGATGCAGGAATACCTCCAGTTTCAACATCATATTTGTGTAAGTTAAGTTTCTCGTCTATGACTGTCATTAAAACAAGAGTTAGAAATCGTCTTGTACTTGAAAATAATATAATTGTGTGTGTTTCAAATACACAACCTAGATTTGAAAGATTAGTTTCACTGAAACAGGCGCATAACTCTCATTAATATTTCTCATTTATTTGACTTTGTTTTACTCTTTTATTTTTACGGACTTTAAATATTTAGTTTTATATTTCGTCTGATAATTAACTGTTAATTTCTATTTACGGCGTTGTTAAAATAAAAATACATGATCTAACAAAGTGGTGCTTTTTTTTTGGAAATTTTCGGCGACCCCCCATGGGGTAGCGACCCCCACTTTGGGAAACACTGGTTTATAGCATCTCAAACTTCAGATTTTAATATTATTGGAGCTTCCTCGTTATCAATTTGTGTTCGTGAGAAGATCTTGAATATATTTAGCCCATACTTGTTTTATTTTAATTGGGTTATTAATAGGTTTATTGTTTTTGTCAATTAATCAGTTAGGTGTGTATATTCATTAATTTTCAGATAATTTAATTCTTTAACCTTTTTATGTAAATTATAACGATTATGTTTTTTTTTTTCGGTAATTCCTCCATTTCAATACATGTTTCCATCATCCACTTTTCCTTATCCTCTTTTATTTTCTTCCTTATTATCTTATGTTTTTCTCTTTATTTATCTGGTATTTAGTTTCTATGGGTTCTTTTTTCTTGACTCTTCCAAGGTTTTCGGCTTTTTTCGTTTTCGTTTTGTATCTTTATAACAAAATCAAAATTGAGATTACATTATGAAAATAACATGGGACGAGTGGCTCTCAGTGATAACTCTCCTGTAATAAATTTATAATTTCAAGGTCAGTAGGAAACTGCTTCTTTATCCTTCTTTCTTTGGTTCGTCCTGCGAGCGATTATAATTATTATATCTACCAGTCTAAGAAATTTGTATTAAACACGCTTAATTTTTTTTTATTGAGCTTTAAATAAATACTCAAAACATCTTGATAATATATTTTTATTTTATTTTCAGACCTACACCGACGAAAAATCAGCCGATACGTCCATGGGAATAATCGAATTGTCACTCACCTACGACCAAGAGACCAGTACCCTTTACTGTACCGTCTATAGAGCCAAAAATCTAATAACAATGGATATGGCCGGACTGTCAGACCCTTTTTGTAAATTAAACATATTACCAAACGCGAAAATGTCTACCAGACTGAGGTAGTTTTATTACTAACTATGTATGAAGTAACTTCTAAAAATATATTTTTTGTTTAAGAACCAAAACAGTTCATAAAACCAGAAATCCTGAGTTCAACGAAAACCTAACTTTCTATGATATCAGTGAGAGTGATTTGATGAAAAAGTGTTTGCATATTTTGGTGGTTGATGACGATAAATATGGCCATGACTATATGGGGGAAACAAGAATTAAACTAGCGAAGCTAAAATATCAGTCTACTATTTACGTAAGTATTTTTTGTTCAATACTAGTACAAGTTTCTTGTTAGAGAGTTTATTACCCAATAGTGAAACTTTTTCCGATTTATTACTAATATTGTAACCTCTCAAAAATCAGAATAAGAATCGCTTGTAAGGTAACTGAATACAATATGCCCATGTTAAGGGAATTTTGAATTTATTGTTACAAAAATATATTTTTCATATATTTTTTAACACTATACCAATGTTTAGGTGTTTAAAGTTAGTTTTTTATTGTTTGGCAATTTTTTTTTTCATATCGAATTTTTTTTTAAAACCCCTCAATCTGGGCATATTGCCAACCCCTGAAGGTAATATGCCCAGTCGAGTGAAGGTAATATGCGCTTACCTAAAACACTAAATGATGTGGAAATAAATATTAAAAAACATCATAGGTATACTTACAAAATCTTATATTTATTGACACTATAAAAAACATTTAACCAAACAAAGATATTAAACAATCCTTTTTGTAAAAACTAAAATGTCAAAATAAAGAATTTTTAACTGATATAACTTAAAATTAAGGAACATTATTGTGGGGTACAATTAGGACAGGTAAAGGATTCCTTATCGAATTTTGTCAGCCCTACACATTCTTCATGAACGTACTGTACACATATAAAGCATCGTCGCATGTCTTTTATTTCAGCTTTGTCGCAAATTTTGCAAAACCATTTTGCTACGTCTTCTGATTTTTTGTTTTTCTGTTATTTATATCTGTTCGTGGACCTGTGCTAGTGGTAGAAAATACATTTTTTTTACCACTATAGCTCTGCGATTTATTGCCTTCTTTCTATTTTGTGTATTTTTTTTCTCAATTTTTGCCGGAGTCTCAAGCATTTCCGTAAACGATGTGTCCATCGATGTAAACACGAAGTTTTGCCCTGGCAAGTTTTTATTTCTTCAGTATTACTTTTTTCTTCTCGAAGATTGTTATTCTCTTTGTTATAAACCTCCAAATCATTTTTTTCAGAATTCATAAGGAAAGTTTCCTTTTTTTTATGAAACTGATTTATTGCCAATTCAACTTCTTCGCCGTTGTCTTCTGATTCCGAAGTATAACTGCCAGAACTCTCACTTGATGAAGTTTGCGTTTTAGACTTCTTTTTCATGTGAATTGGCGTCTTTTGGTATTGTGGCAAACAGTTTTGTTGGAAAGAGCTTTTTGAATAGCCTGCAGTTGGTGGTGGAGTTTTTTGGCGCAGATTAATGGGTCCGCTATCACTATCACTTGATGATGATTCAGTTCTAGGTTTCTTTTTTTTGTAATCTTGGGTCTTTGATATTTTAATACACTTTTTTGTTGAGAGGAATTATATGAACAGCCTGGAGTAGGAGATGGTGTTTTCTGGCGTACATTAATGGGAGTGGGATCAATGTTCTCAATTTCTAATAAAATACTTGGGGCAAAAGCAACTTCAGGTATAGCATCGGGGTTATAAGGAAATATTCCTGTTGCAGCAAAGCCTGATTTAATGTTAGAAGGTGTCAATGCCTTGTCCCACACTATCGAAAATATTTCCCCAAATCGCTGCTTTGTTAAAGCACGTTCTTTGTATTTGGTCCAATACAACAACACTTGTTCGTTCCAGTGGTGTTCAAAGGAACGAAACACAGCTTTGTCCATCGGCTGGAGTTCATGAGATGTGTTGCTAGGCAAACACAGAAGGGTTATTTGATATTTCTCGTCAGCTTCGACAATTGAAATGTCTAAGTGACATGAGGCTCCATCAAATATTAAAAGACACTTTCCCTCCAATTTATATTTTGCTAAATGCTCCAACCAAATAATGAAGGTTTCCACATTCATACTGCCTTTAGGGGTCATCAACGCCAACGTGCCATGAGGCAAATTATCTTTCCATTCGGGCTTCATGCGCCGTCCTTTAAACAAAACGGCAAGATAAATAGCGGTACCATTGGCGTTAGCACAGCTAACAATAGTTACATTTTCCCCATGTTCCGGAGCAACCAAATGTACGCGTTTCGCGCCTTTCTTTGCTAGAACGGTCTGTTGATGATGCAGACTGAGTCTGCAGCCTTTCTCGTCCACATTGTAAATTCTTTCAGGTTTGTCGATTAAATCTAATTCTTGAAGTACACCCCTTAATTTGTCAAAATAGTCTTTTACTATGAACTTGTTCAATTTTTGAGCCCGAGCAGGATTCATGTTTTGTGCTTTCCTTATCGATATTTCAGGTGTCTTTGCAAAAATCCTTTTAACCAATAACGTCCAGCCATTTTGGTTCCTTGTGAAAAAAAGTGTGGCAAATTGTTTTGTTCACAATAAGTAAACACACATTTTTTAAAAGTTTTATTGCTGAAGGGATACCCAACTTCTGTCAATCTAACAATTCGTCGAGACAATTCGTTTTCTTGATCTATATTCAAAATAGTCTTTCTCCCCATTTTTGCCTTTTTGGTACTATTTTTTTCTACATAGCGTTTCAAAGTGCGTCTAGAAATATTATACCTTTCACTTGCCGCATTGTATGACATTCCATTCACTACTGTTGCAATTGCGGATTCTAGCTGTTGATTGCTCCATTGCGACCGTATTTCCTTATTTCTGACACGAGGCATGTTATCTAAAACAAAAAAAAAATCAATAAATTATCAAATCTGTTATAATTAGCTGGCAATATGCCCAATTGAGCAAATTGTCAGCATACACTATGGGCATATTGTTGACACATGATGATTAATATATTTTCTTAAATTATAAAAACATTTTGAATAATAATATATTTTATTTCTACTTACATTTTAAGTACTCTATGGCAGACTAAAATCACTTAATGTCGTAGACAAATTAAAATGTTTAAGTGCAAAACAGAGGTGAAAACTGACGTCAATTTTTATAAACACGCTCTTAAAAACCACGTACAACTTGACTGCACCACGGCAAGCTCACAACTAACCTTGAGGTCGGTCACGGGCTTAGTTATATTAGGCGTTCAGTGCAGAGTTCAGTGTGTCCAGCGCCTCCTTCCCCGAATATCAAATATTAAAGCAAAACATGGAAATGGGCATATTACCAACATGGGCATTATGTATTCAGGTACCTTACAGGGTTTCTCACAATATTTTGACTCCCACTTATTTTCCTTAATATCGGGAATACAAAAAAGTTTCAAATAAAAGTTGCATTATTTTATCTGTACCGACCAACACTGTAGCAACAGACTAAATTTTATATACAAGGAGTGCCCAATAAAATGCATCTTCAATATTTCAAATAATACACCCTGTATTTTTTTTATAGTTTATGGTAGCCCTGTATTTCCTGATTACAAATATATAACATAGTGTAGCATTAGTTTTGTTCTATTATGGCATATGGTATTAGTAACTATACTAAGATAAGAAAAACGTATATTTAGAAAGTCATTTAAGATACAATACTACAGTCTGTCTCAAACCCTTCTTTCAGTGCGTCACTAATTTTGACGTCATATAGGATTTTAAGAATGTCGAGAATTGTTGCATATTTTAGTTAAATCTGACAGTTGCAGGATCGTAATCGGCTAAATGTAAAAAGGTTTTTTTTAATGTGCAGTAAAAACAGTAAAAAAAGTATTAGACGTCCCGTCCCGTATAAAAAATTATTTATTACAAACACTATGGAATTGGAATGTTTGTTTATTAAAAATAACGCTTCCTCCTAGAATCTTTTAAAAGTTGACTGTGAGATAAAAAAATTTACTGGCAGTTGTAATGCATCAAAGTACACATTCCTGTGATAAAATAACATCGATTGAAATCAGTCATATTTGGATAAGTAATTTTCCAATAAGTTTCTGTGGCAGCCAATAGTTTAATTTAGTGAAGATTTATCATTAAATAGTGGAAATAGTTTAAATAGTGAAGCAGTTGATTTTTGAGTTATTCTACCAGATTTGGTATGCAAATAAAAGAGTGTTATGAAGTTTAGTTAAAAAAAAAACAATGTAAATTGTTTAAATAGTGAAGCAGTTGATTTTTGAGTTAATCTGCCAGTTCCGGTATCCAGATGAAATAGTGTTAATGGAGTTTAGTTAAAAAAACTAGATACCGAATGTAAGTTTACCTTGTTTTTTATGAATAACAAAAATGAATATTATATTTCAAACAATATATAATCCGGTTTAGAATCTGATTCATTAAAATCGATGATTACAGTAGATATGTGGCTGGTATCAATTATATCTTACATTTCAAGAAAATGTCGTGGTTCTAAAAAAGAACCGTTTTAATACATATAAATATATATAAATATATATGATATTTTCTCAATATCATTCCGGAATTCACAATCTGATTCGCGAACGACAGAAACTAGTAATAAAGTTGTCCCAGCCTCTTTTTCTAATTGAAAATAATTTAATAATTTTCATATTAGTCTTTGTTCATTCTCAGTATATTTCGGAATATTTAAAATATTTTTACGACAGTAAATACAAAATTTTATTTTAACTGTAGGAAAAATGTCTGAAAATACTAACCTGGAATGACAATTATCATTATATCAGTTGACATTGTGAAAGTACTGTCACTGTCATGATCGAGACCTGCGTCAAATTATATTTATGTGCATCATTTATTGGATATCTATTTAGCGTATTCTAAACTCCAACCAATTATACATCCGTAAGTAGAATTCGCTTTAATATGCGAATACCCGTGAATGATACCTAATTTTCTAAGTTCTATGTACAGTAATAAGAGACTCACGTTTTTTTTCTGTCACTTCCATCTTAATGCGTTAGAGAGAATTCTAACAACTATGGCGCACTGAAAGAAGGGTTTGGGACGGACTATACATTTAAGATTTCAATAGATGCTTAAAGTGCCCTCCATTGTTATCAATGCACAAGTAATATCTTCGTCTCAAATTGTCTAATGCGTCACATATTGTGTTATTATGACCATTTAAATTTTCAATTTCCGCGGAAACTTTTGTCGTGATAGTGTTAATATTTGTATTTGAATCAAAATAGACTTT